ACCTCTCATCCATCATCCAAATTTATCACGCCTGCGCGAAATGGTCGACGGAAAACAGCACATGAGGCCATGCGTAACAACGCGTGCATTGACACGGATGCAATTCGTTGGGGAGAGGGGGGGGGGACAATCGGATAAAAGGAACGCGGCAGAGGGAATGTAATGCGCATTAATTTTGCCAGCCGAATTTAGTCGCAATGATAAATTCCGATAATTATAAACAACGCGTTCAAGCTTCGATAAATGTATATGCAATGAGCACAATTACGGTGCGCGAGTTCGCAATGACGAACGACAAGATATCGTAAATATATTTATTTCGATAATGTTGTTGTTATCAAGAGTCCATTAATTATGATAATGAGGAATGAGAGCTTGTTCAGAGCCGTATATATAGAGATCTCTATATACGGCTCTGGGCTTGTTCTTATCGTAGCAATATCTACCGGCGTGAACAAAAACACAATGATGTTGTTTTCATTTTTTAACTAGAGCACTCGGAGAGCACAGACCTCCGCCAAGGCAGCTGAATTCTCTCAATGTTCACACACACACACACACACACACACACACACACACACACACACACACACACACACATACACACACACAGCGCCACGTGATGGTTGCGTTAATGTTCTCACGTGTTGTCACGTCCGAGTAGATCGCCACGTTTAAAAGCCACAGCGCCTATATATACACCAGCAGTGCCCATCGTCAGCACACCAATCTTACACCGCTGAGCGATATGGAATGGATTATACCCACCGGCGATTTTTAAAGTATAGTTAAAACACTCGTAATGAATGCAGAGGCAACGGACTCTTGTTTTGTATGTGTTTGCAATCGTCCCGTACGCCACCACGCACGCTGTCCCTCCAGTAGCGACACACCATATACGTGAGCGTGCCGAGCTAACGGTGACTCCGGCGTTAAATATGTTATGTCGATACGTGTACATATGCGAACCGGTCCTACAACCGATGAGCGCTCGTCGGTCTACGTGAAGATGTACGTAAATACGTCGTCTGAATATTTAACGAGCATCGATTCCAGACGCAGTATAAACCAGACGTTCAGACGCGCTTCGTTGCTTTTGGCTGTGTCTAGCTCTAGTAGTATATAGCATTCGCTGGCTCTGCTACGGGCCAACGAGGGCTATAGTACTCGAGCTAGGTTGTGTCGAGTGAGCGATGCATTGCAGGAGGAGGAACGTCGAACGTATGCAGCAGCGGCAATAAGTTAACTAAATAATGCTATCAACCCCATTCTGATAATAACGTTATAATTTAATGCGTAGGAGGTTCGTGTCTTCTTGGGCCGAGAACAATCGATACCAGGAAGATGACCGCCATTAGTATCTACGCGATCTATCAACAACTATACACGCACGTAACACCATAGAGATCTATACTTGAGGCTATTACATTGTTGGCCCCTCGCTCGCAGTTCCTACACATAGCTGCAGGGAGAAAACTTCGGGCCTCAGTGCTTACTATCGGCTCGACAGTGCTTACTACCATGCAGCGATGATCTCTCCATCTGCTATGCGACGACACTGGCCTGCGGGCTCTCGCCGTTGTCAGGGTAGTAGAGATATTCGCCGATACGTGGCGAAGCTGGGAGTAAAAGTAGAGGGAACCCCTGCGGCTGAGAGACGCGATCGAGATGCGAGCGCTGGCAAAATACGCCGGGCTATATAGATCTAGCGTGAGTCTTTATGATGTCCTTTCACTCACAGATAATAATAGAAATGGTGCGTTGGAATGCCATTAGATCCTGCAAGCGCGATAGAGAGAGCGCGCGCGCGTGCGAGCGTTATGCATATATTCAATATTTAAATACTGAATAAATTCACACGTAAAGAGTGCAGCAGCACTACTACATGGTGTCATATGATAGAATTCACACATATTAGATCTACTGGTTTTAATTTCGCTTACCGACCCCTATAGTTTCAGTTAGTTGTGTAGAGTTAGTTGCTACATGAGATGGTACCAGTATAGTGATTGGAACCAAGGGGGCCTAACCAGGGGCTGAAGAGATCGCAACATAATGGACGCACGCTTCGCACTCCAGGGACCACAACAATCCCACCAACACATGCACGCACGCATGCACGCCGGCGACCGGACGCAAAGCACGCGCACACAGGACGCAGCACGAACCCACACACACAAAATCACACCACACACACAACACACACACACACCCGACCACACGACACCACACACACACATACACCACACACACACACACACACACGCACACACCACACCACCACACAACCACACACACACACACACACACACACACAAGTTCACACTACCCCAAACAACAAAGAT